CTTTTTTTTCTCTGAATCATGGTAAAAAATTTTAGTTTGTATTTCTAATAGTAACATCAATAAGGTAATACAATTAGCATATCATGTCCCTACTTCATGATATTAGCACCATATATTTTTTTAGTATAATATGTTTTCAAATTACACCGTGAAATGTGTTTAGGGGTTTGAATGTTAAAAGTATTTAGTCTATTGAGATTTTAAGATACATTTATTCGTTTTAGTCTTTTTATAATAGATTTTTAAATACATGTGATACCAATGTCTCTAAAAAGAAAACTAATTGTCAAATTGATTGTAGCAATTTAAATCATACCAAATCGACTTATTTCTACAACAATCAAGTTTTCAAACACATTTTCAAAATTCTAATTGAATTATAAAGGAACATCTCTTGATAACATGTGTTTGAGCAAAGTTGATCCTCGAAAGAAGTAGACATCTTGTGCTCTACTAAATTTCCCATTCTAATCCAAGTAAAGTTCCGATTGAGCTTTTTTTTTAATGTAATTGTATGAATTTGGCTTAGTAGGTGTTATGGTGAGTGGAAGACAATGTATGAGCTAATTTATATTTAAGAGATGACAGAGAAGTTATATAAAGGGAAAATGAAAAGGGCTGTTTGTTAGTTAATTGGCTTCACAGTTTATACATTGATTCAAATTAAATTTTAAAAGTGCAGATTCTACATATTATTATTATTATTTGATTAACTTTATATTATACTATTGTGTGACTAAATGGGAAGAAATTTATAGTCTTGAGCTAAAATTTTTGACTCACTAACAGTTAGTGGTCAAAAGACCCAAACCGATAAAGAATTAGATGCACCATTATCTAATTCTACCTTAGGTGGTCCCTACAAAACTCTGGTCTTCCCATGGCTTAAACTTTAATGTCACTTTAATGTAGTCGTTTCAACTTTTTAGAGAGGAGAGCAGGTCGCAAAGCCCCCCGACATGTAATAAAGGTAGCCTAAAAAGTAAACATTGACACTTTAAAATTTTAAATATAGATATAAGCATTTGTACGCAAAATTAGATTATAAAATATTGATAATAATTATATTGTTGACCAAATATTTTGGTGGAGATTAGGAAGTGCATTTAATAAAGAGTTATGGATAATTATTTAAGGATTAATTATAAATAATGGTATAGTTATAAATTATCAAAATTTAAAAGGGCAAAATAAGAAATCAAAAGTTTTGACATGAGTATTCTCTTTTATAAGTAGTGTATATATATATATATATATATATATATATACACACACACACAT